GTGAATCTGCTCGAGAAAGTATATTCTTGCCTGCGCTCTGCCTCTGTCTAGCTAGAACCTGTGTCTTCACATAATCATAATATATGAGTGGGTGTCTGCACTCCTGAACGTAACCTACCGGTGAGGCACCCCCCTTCCCGACGGGGTTGGGCGAAGGGTGCTCCTCCACGGGCATGCTCCCCCTGAATGCATCAGGCGAGAGTAGAGGACCCTGACTCGAGCTTTCCCATCGGAGAAGCTTAGAGGTCCATGCATCTACAAACCGACGTCGCGGTACTGCCAAAACATGATGCACGTGTGTATGTACGAATGTATGAGGTATGATGCATGAATGCATGAATGCATGTAATGTATGAGTGCAATGTATGAGAGAAGGAATGTGAGATGTGATAGAAAGCGGTGGCTCTCATCGATAAACCGGGCATGTCAGCGCCGAGGGGCAGACGTGCTGCATAAGAGACGTTCGTCGCCATCCTGAAAGGGATGGGCGACCCTAACGTGAGCCAGACACGATGGCGCTGGGGCGCTGATCGTGCTGCATAAGAGACGTTCGCCGCCATCCTGAAAGGGATGGGCGACCCTAACGTGAGCCAGACACGATGGCGCTGGGGCGCTGATCGTGCTGCATAAAGACGTTCGTCGCCATCCTGAAAGGGATGGGCGACCCTAACGTGAGCCAGACACGATGGCACTAGGGCGCTGATCGTGCTGCATAAAGACGTTCGTCGCCATGCTGAAAGGAATGGGCGACCCTAACGTGAGCCAGACACGATGGCGCTAGGGCGCTGATCGTGCTGCATAAGAGACGCTCGTCGCCATCCTGAAAAGGATGGGCGACCCTAACGTGAGCCAGACACGATGGCGCTGGGGCGCTGATCGTGGCGCATAAGAGACGTTCGCCGCCATCCTGAAAGGGATGGGCGACCCTAACGTGAGCCAGACACGATGGCGCTGGGGCGCTGATCGTGCTGCATAAAGACGTTCGTCGCCATCCTGAAAGGGATGCGCGATCCGAACCGTGAAGCCAGGTACGATGGCGCTGAGGGGCTGATCGCACTGCATAAGACGTTCGTCGCCATTCTGGAGGGAATGGGGCGATCCGAACGTGAAAGAGACACGATGGCGCTGAGAAGCCGATCGTGCTGCATAAGACGGTCGTCGCCATCCTGGAGGGAATGGGCGGGCCGAACCGTGAAGCCAAGTACGATGGCGCTGAGGGGCCGATCGCACTGCATAAGACGTTCGTCGCCATCCTGGAGGGAATGGGGCGATCCGAACGTGAAAGAGGCCCGATGGCGCTGAGAAGCCGATCGTGCTGCATAAGACGGTCGTCGCCATCCTGGAGGGAATGGGCGAGCCGAACCGTGAAGCCAAGTACGATGGCGCTGTGGGGCCGATCGCACTGCATAAGACGTTCGTCGCCATCCTGGAGGGAATGGGGCGATCTGAACGTGAAAGAGGCCCGATGGCGCTGAGAAGCCGATCGTGCTGCATAAGACGGTCGTCGCCATCCTGGAGGGAATGGGCGAGCCGAACCGTGAAGCCAAGTACGATGGCGCTGAGGGGGCCGATCGCACTGCATAAGACGTTCGTCGCCATCCTGGAGGGAATGGGGCGATCCGAACGTGAAAGAGGCCCGATGGCGCTGAGAAGCCGATCGTGCTGCATAAGACGGTCGTCGCCATCCTGGAGGGAATGGGCGAGCCGAACCGTGAAGCCAAGTACGATGGCGCTGAGGGGCCGATCGCACTGCATAAGAGGTGTCCTTACTTCGAAGAGACGTCCGGTATCCTCGAAACTCGCAAGGAGGAACATGTTTATCTGCATCGAGATTCCCCCTTTTTCGTTCGTCCGTGGTCCTTTTAGTCCTACCGGCGTCTCTTGCTTTGAAGAGGACGTTCGGTATCCAAGGAACTCGCAGGGACGAACTGGTTTACCCTCACGGGTTCCCGACTTTGTTATCCCACGTCCATCGATCCATGGTCATTGTGGGATAAACAGGTTTATCTTGGCAAAGCTCCCTTGGTTCGTCTAGCCCCCTCCACGTCTCTACTAACCTCTACATCGAGAGGCGTTCGTCTTCGGCGGTGGGAGAAGATCTGGCACGCCCGGGCAAGATTCCCTTCCACATAGGAGCTCCCCTCCTCTTCTCCCCATCTTTTTTTTTTTTGTTTGAGGGAGGCAATCTATATTCTTCGTTCGTCCTTGGTTCTTGGTCCTACCGGCGCTCTTGCTTCGAAGAGACGTTCGGTATCCGCGAAACTCGCAAGGAGGAACAGGTTTATCTACATCGAGATTCCCTAGCTCTTCTTTGTCCGTCCCTGGTCTGCGGTCCTACCGATCTTCCTACATCGAAGAAGGCATTCGGTATCCAAGAAACTCGCAGGGATCACGGGATGTCATACATAATGGTGGTGGCATAGTGAACGAATATAATGACGAGGCGATAGAATAGCTGGTCGTCATGCAAAGGCGATGGTCACCCTCCTGGAGGGGAGTCGTGAGCCCGATCACAAACTCAAGAGGGTCGGCATTGGGAGCCGACAAACAATGATCATAATGTCGCTGAGCAGTCGGTCCTGATGAGGAGGTGGCAATAGTGTCCGGTCAGGCCGATATATCCGTGCAACGGCTCTCATCCAACGCATCGCGGGGATGGAACCGGTTTCAAAAGTTAAGTATGTCGTGCCGAGAGGCCGAACATGATGTGATAGTGTCGGCAATGAGGGGCCGACCTGAAAGAATCAAGCAGCGGTCCTCATCCGCGAGGAGCGGGGACGAGGCCGGTCTTCAAAAGATGAACACGCCGAGCCGAGGGGCCGGTCGTGGTATGATAATGTCGGCAATGAGATGCCGATCAAGATATGGTCAAGCAACGGTCCTCGTCTGCGAGGTGGCGGGGACGAGGCCGGTCTTCGAATATGATAATCACGCCGGTCCGAGAGGCCGATCGTGATATAATGATGTCGGCGATGAGAGGCCGACCTGAAAGAAATCCAGCAACGGTCTTCGTCCGCGCAGCGCGGGGACGAGGCTGGTCTTCAAAAGATGATAATCACGCCGTGCCGAGAGGCCGGTCGTGATATAATGATGTTGGCATTGAGAGGCCAGCATGAAAGAATCCAGCAACAGTCCTCATCCGCGCTGCGCGGGGACGAGGCCGGTCTTTTAAAGATAAGCACGCCGAGCCGAGAGGCCGGTCGTGGTATAATGGTGTCGGCAATGAGCGGCCGATCTGAGAAAAACAAGCAACGGTTCTCGTCCGCGAGGGCGGGGACGAGGCCGGTCTTCAAAGATGATAATCACGCCGGGTCGGGGGGCCGAACATGATATGACAGTGTCGGCAATGAGAGGCTGATCTGAAAGAATCAAGCAACGACCCTCGTCCGCGAGGGCGGGGACGAGGCCGGTCTTCAAATATGATAATCACGTCGGGCCGAGAGGCCGGTCGTGATATATGATGACATCGGCAATGACAGGCCGACCTGAAATCCAGCAACGGTCCTCACCCGCGCAATGTGGGGACGAGGCCGGTCTTCAAATATGGGAAGCACACCGAGCCGGGAGGCCGGTCGTGACATAATGGTGTCGGCAATGAGAGGCCGACATGAAAAAACCAAGCAACGGTCCTCATCCGCGCAGCGCGGGGACGAGGCCGGTCTTCAGAAGATGATAATCACGCCGTGCCGAGAGGCCGGTCGTGATATGATGGTGTCAGTTGGCCCTCGGCCGTGACGGTCTCCTCTAGGCCTTCGGCCTCTGAATGATGGATGATCGTCTCACGGTTCTTCGCCGTGGGAGTTCCCTCTAGACCCTCGGCCTCTAGGTGTTCTTCCTAGGCCATCGGTCTCTGGGGTGGAGATGCTCGTCTCACGGTCCTCAACCGCGATTGTCTCCTCTTTAGCTGGCCCTGAACGTCTTCAAGACTCGGGCCGAGCGTCTTTTAATCATTTTGCTCGAGCGCGTCGAGTGGCTTCAGCTGCGCAATAAGCATGGTAACGGGCCGCACGGCCCGACAATATGTATACACACATAACCATCTGCATGGCTTTCTTTTTAACATCCACGATTACCGGCCTATGGGTCATCGTGACCCTCGGCCCGGCTCACCGCGCGGGGTTAATGGACGTAGCAGCTCGCGGCGGGGCCAATTAGCAGCCCGTCGAACGTCTCATAAAAATACTCATCGGTCTGTGAGTTTTCAAACTCAGACCCAAGTTGGTCGCACTGTCCTCGGCAAACGAGGTTGAGTGATTGGGTGCCCTCGGGCCCCATAGGCCGTGTTTGGCACAGTCCCTTCGCCTAGTGGCGCAAATGGTACTAGGGTACGATCGTCGCTCGGGCACTTGGTGCCGTGCGGACTAATGCGTAACCCCTAAATTAAAATGCATTGTCGGGGCATCGCCCTACTGGATACGCTCGGATCGCTTAATCAAGCCGACCGAGAGTGGGCCAACAGGCCTACAAGAAATTAAATATTTAATAAAACGTTAGCTGAACTAACTATCACTTGAGCCTCGCTCAGCATTATTTAATTCGGACATTTTATCCCTAATAAATAATAGTGATATCACCGGTACTAGCAATGATACTTTCCTATCAAAGGTCATTCAAGTATACTCCGTTCGCTAATTAAAGCCGATCAGGAGCGGGCCGACGGGCCCACAACAACCAGTCATTAAATTTAAATGACGGTGAAATTAATTGTCACAAGAGCGTCGCTCGGCATTATTTAATTTTGGGAGATTTTAATCCCTAATAAATGATGGTGATAAAAATACTAGCAATAAAGATATCATTATTCTAATTAACACTCCAACTAGTAAATGATGAGGATTTTTATGGAACTTAGCTCTTGAAGCGTGCTCCTCGGCTAGGGATCATCAAGGAATATGTGTTGACCGGGTCAACAACCACTTTCCCCACAAGTTGGCCGCCCAGCCTTCCTATTCCAAATTGAGGGCTTGGTCTCTATTCGGCCATTCTCTCTCCGGGACGTGGCTCACTGATAACCAAGGTAATATGACCGGCACGCAGCACTCCGTATTACCAAACCAAGGGTAATCTGACTTCGTCGGCCACTTTACCGAGGGAGGTGTGCAGTGGAGCAAGGGCGGCCATGGGGCCCGGTCCCGTGGGAAACCTGCTAAGCTTCGAATCCACCTTCTCTGAGCTCCAAACCGCCATCAATGGCGGAAATCAGCGAACTTCCCATCAGCTGACTCCTCATGTTGCGTTGGCAGATCTGTGCGGCCGGTGGAGGCTTGAGCCGGACGACTTCAGGATGAGTGACCAGTGTTGGGTCGCTGACGACGATCGACGGTACGGTGGCTCAGATGGTGGTCGGTGGAACTGGATGCTAACTACGAGCGGCTCTGTCCCAGGCGGGTGCTTTACCAGAAAATGGAATGACGAGGCCCAGAGCACTGCAGCAAGCTCGTCTGGTGCAGGCTTACAACAGGGGTTTCATGGCGATGGCTCTGGCGGCTCCGGCGACCTCGAAACAGATCTGGAAAAAATCCAGATTTGGGCTTCCCAGATTCGCAACTTCCCCGATTCTTCTTCCCCTCCTCAGAATCAATTTTTTCTTTTATTTTTGCTGAAATTAGTAGCTTTTTCGTATGAATCTTTCCGGTAGAAACTCAAGAACAGTAGAATACATGAATCTTTTTGGACAGATTCCCACAGACGGCGCCAGTGTTGAGTTTAATCCAACACGATATAGTAGATATATGTATGAACACTCAGTTTTTACGTGGAAACCCGAAAGGGAGAAAACCACGGGACTTTTTAGGCTAATGTCCAAGCCCTCTCATTCTCATTAGGACTCTCCTCACCATTACATCGTACAAGTATTGAAGCTCCCATTAATGGAGTTCTATCTAATCTAGAGAGCTAAAGAAGAAGGAAAAGATCTTTTACATGGAGGCTAAGCTCCCTATTTATAGGCAAAGGGAAAAAGGGTGCTCTCCACCCTAATGGGCCAAACGGACCAATATTGGGCCTAATGGGCCGAAATGGGCCTAGCTGCTCGGGCTCCGTACTGGATAATGTCTTGGGCTCCTGAACAGTAATAGGCCGGGATAATATATCCCAACAGTTTCAATCATGAAGCTCAGGATTCAAAAATCAGGGAGGTATTGGGAAGGGAAAGGCGCAAGGATGAAGCTGTTGGTCAGAAGGCAGGGTAATGATGAGAGTGCGGGTCCTTTAGAAATTAATCACGATATGGATTTCTCTAGAATTTACATCCGGTGGTCCAGAGGGACAGAAGGGTAATAATTAATAAAAGGGGGAATGGCCAGAAGGGTAAATATAATTAATAAAAGGGGGAATGGCCAGAAGGGTAAATAATTAATAAAAGGGGGAATGGCCAGAAGGATAAATAACTAATAAAAGGGGGAATGGCCCAAGTAAGTGTGGAAGACCGAAAGATGGACAGGCCGGAGAAAGGAAGTAAAAGTAAAATGGGAAAACTATCAAATACACTCTCTTTATACAAAACATCAATTAAACCCTTATACTTTGGAAACACCCAATCAAACCCATCAAGTATTCAAAAACACCCAATTTTGTCATTTGAGTGAGCAGGAACTTCTTTTCCAGAGTTATAGTGCTATTAAGGAGAGGATTTCCGCACAAAGATAGCTCATAAAGAAAAGCAAGAGAATCCAGGTGCACCAGGAGAAACAAATACTTCGTATAAAGAAAGACACAAAATTGGATAATTTGATATGATTTTTAGCTTGTTTACGAATATTCCGCTGCCCATAAAGCGAACTTATTCTCATTGGGCAAATAAGGGAATTTTTTATTACTTGGAATATACGAAAGGGTGAACATTGCAGCAATGCCAAGTAACTCTCGCTGAGTTACTTTTTTTTTGAAAGGAAACTCATATTAATTCATTTCAATTTCTACCAGCGTAATAATACTTTATACTTTCTTGCCATTTGATGAGCAGCTACATTGCCTCCTCTTTTTACATGGGAAAATTCAACAACATCAAACTTAGAACAAAAATGATAAATATCTTCCAAAAAAATTCCTAATGAAGTACCGTCTTTCTTTCTTGATGAGGCTGCCTTAATGAAGTTTAATGCGTCACTTTCAAGAATAACTTTCCTCGCTCCCACCTGGTATGCAACTTGTAGTGCATATACTCCCGCTGCGTGTTCTGCCATCTCCGCCTCCCAGTTCATGTCCATTCTTTTGACTCCTGCCATGACTAGGGCACCATGTTCATCTCGGATTATCGCTCAAAGACCCACACCTCCTCCTTTGAACACAGCTGCATCACAGTTCGCTTTAACGAAACCAAAAGATGGTTTATTCCACTTCTCAGGTCTATTATTCAAATATGATTCTGGCCCTTTGTAAACTTTTGAAGCATATGTTTGAAAATCTTCGATATATTGATTGCAACCCATCCGGATCAGCTCTACTTGTGGTTCTTTTTGCTCAAAAACCACCTTGTTTCGACAGCGCCACGCAGCCCAACAATTAATTATGAAGCTATAGATCCCTTGACTCAAATTCTTCATAGCCCAACCCAATAGTTCTTTTGCAGACATAGTCGGTGCCACCATGACCAAATTTCCCCAGATTTCATTCTTCCAAAGCTGCGAAGAGAATTTACAAAAAAATAACATATGACTAATATCCTCAGTCATACCTGCACACACTGGGCATGTTGGGTCATCAGTGGCTTTCCTCCTCCATAAGTGCTCCTTCGTTGCCAAGCATCCAGAAACGAGTCGCCAAAGGAAGTGTTTCAACTTTGGGGGGATACTGAGGTCCCAAAAATTCTTCCAGATTGACTCTATTGGCTCTCTTTTCATTCCCACAGGTCCTAGAACACCTAACCAGTAGGCGGTCTTTACCGTAAAAATCTTTTTTTTAGTCGGCCACCAATAGCGAGAATCTCGCTGAGTTACTTACTACCACAAATTATGACTGTCACATTGCATAGATGATCCCACTCACAAATTATAATTGTGAATAAAAGCATCGTTTGAAACATACATGATAATTATAATCACAATTCCAGTACCCACACGATCATTTATGGTAAACATAGATAGCATAACCAATTAGAACAAGGAATGCAGGCGTCCGAATGTAGGATCTTATGTCAAATAAGAAAACATTACCTCATTTGTAACATTTATTTATAAGTCAAATAGGCAAAACTAGCACAGTATTTTCAGTTAATTTAGGCCATACACATGGTCATGTGGATCAAAAAGATCTTGCCAAAATATGTTGTGCATCCTGTAACACCACACAGATCGCTGCTCGATGAACTCCCATTATAGAATGCCTTACAAAACAAGAAGCAATAAAAAAAGGATGAGTACAACAAATACATTCTACAGAACTGAATCAACATAATCTTTCCAAATGGAAACAAAAATAACAGTGTAGAAAGAAACTACCCCAGCAAACACAGAAAATATCAAGTTGTTTTGCCCCCAGTAAGGAGAAACTAAGGTCAAAAAAGCATTGGTAGATGAAGCAAAAAAATGCTTGTCGAAATCATGGAACCCCAAGCTTCAAAAGCATTTGCAGATGTATTTTGAGGTTGTTATTATACAACCACAAGACAATTAATGGGAACTCAACAAATTCTTAACATTTAATGGAAGGCCATTTAAGATGATCCTACCGTTAAGCATAGGGTGATTGAGATGGTGGATCTTTGAAAGGAAACAATACTGTAAAGAAGCATTAAATTTAAAAAACTTTAACAATGCTAACTATCATGCTGTGGACAGATACTATGGTTTAGTAGAATGCTCTCAAAAAGACAGATGTACATACGTGCATGCCCATTCAATTCTTCTGCTTCTTCCTCCCTCTTCCTCTTCCTCCCAGCATCATGTTCTGGTCTAGGAGATGCTACTTCTTTGGCAGCGAATTCAGGAGCACTTTGTTCGGCCTGTGTGTACTGGTCGTTGGGCGGGCAGTCTGAGCGGTATACCTTGCACAAAACCCAATCGCCCAACTGCAATTGCATGATAATGAATGAAGGCAATTAAGGAAAGGGCAATGGCAGTAAACACAACTGAACACAGATATATAATGAAAACAGAGAAATACGGGATAGAGTAAAGAGCACCCTTTGACGTGGATCAAAGGGTCTGAGTACATCCATCAGGAAGCTAGTTTCACGGCCATTATTGTAGTACTTGAAAGTCTTACTGACTCCAATAATACAGCCTTCTGCTTCGACCATGCCTTCCTCCGGCTGTTGTACTCGCTCCCACACCCCTGATCCATCCGCGCTTTCTATCCTTGCCTCGTCGTCGGATTTCCTGCCCCAAAGAGAATACATGAAATATTCACGGTCCGGCCCATATTCCGCTGCAAACCGATAGCAATAACTAAATCATCAGAAAGTAAACTGGGATCAAAACAACAAGTGCAGCAGCAGCAACTTATTCAGTCTATCAGGGTTGGGGAAAATGAAGAAACTTATGAGTTTATTAACGTACTGCTGAGCGAATCCGGAACTATCTCGTATATATTCTTCAACCTATTTGGGAAGAGGTCTTCTTCGACAAAGTTAATACTGTCGGGAAGAGGTCTGTCTGGAAGACAGTTTTCCACGGACCAGAACCAATCCCTGATAAACCTGAAATCTTTATACCACCAATCTGTCGGGGGATTCAAGTAATGAGGAATGCCTGCCATTGTTCTTCACTGTGAATTCAGGTTGGGAGGTAGATGTCTCTCACACACACGCACATTTGGATGATAGCCCCTCCTCTCTGCAGTCTCCACCAATGTGGATTAGGCGAGCTCCCCTGCCCTACACGGCTCCATTACGGCTGTTTATCATGAGTATTAGGGTTGTTTGTAATTGCTTTAAAAAACATTTCTCCCCTTTTTGTTTAAAAAAACACTTATTTTATCGAATATTATCTGCTTTTATTTTTTTCGGTTTTCATATTAAAAGTATTTTTACCTTTTTATTACACAAAAATCACTAATTTTATCAACTACTACCAACTTTTACTTTTCAAATCACTTTTTTCTCAAACACTACCAACTTAAAAAAATTACTTTTTCCAAATAGTGCTTTTTTAAAGCAGAAACAGTTGCAAACACTCCCTTATTATTATACTGTTGGTGATCAAATGACCTATTTTACCCTTCTATTATCCGTGAAATACATTTTCACCATTGTGTTCACTCTTTTACAACTCACTAGTGTAACACCCGGGGCATGCCCCGGTAGCATCACTTTAATATGAATTAATCAAATGATAAATATTAATAGAGTGTGAATTATTTAGAAAATCTGTTAATATCATTTTCTAAGATAAAAATTTATGTGTGCTCATACTTTATTGAAAAATGAGGAGGGTTCAAAAGAATTGATGTGTATATGATTTGCTATATTTTTTTATTTTTATTTTCTGTTTTTTTTAAAGATTATTTTCTGTTCATATGCACAAGTTCAAAAGGGTCCATAGTACACACAATAATAGGGGTAGTGAAGAATGAAAATTAATGTGCTGCTTGTCATTTATAGGTTTTAAAAGAAAATTACATACACTTTCTTGTGCAAAATAGTTATTGTATTGCACAATTCCCATCGACCAAACAAAAAATCTCAATTCATTTATATTAAAATTTTCAATCGAGAAAGTGTCACACACTCACACCTAGATGTCCATGTGTGGGTACTTAAAACATGGGGGTAGGGGTGGGGTTCGGGGTCGGGGTGGGGTCGAGGTAGGGGCAGGTGGTAGGGGTAACAGGATAGGGTCGGGGTAGGGTAAGGGGTACGGATGGGGAGTGGGGTAAGGGGTATGGTCGGGGTAGGGTAGGAGTAAGGAGGTGGGATGGGGTCGGGGTCAGGGTCGGGATTAGGTTCGGGGTTGGGGCAAGTGGTAGGGGTTAGGGGGTAGGGTCACTAAAGCACGTTGGAGCATTTGAAACAAAATTCCAAAGACAACAATTTTAAGTTATGGGCTTTTAGGATGTTTTTAGTTGGACTGAAATTTTTAGGTCTAATCTGATCTGGTCTTGTTTGCTCTGGTCTAGTCTGGTTTAAAGTTATCTAGTTGGTAAATATCTAATCCATGTGTATTTTATAACCATCTAAGTCTGGTCAAATCTGATCCGATCCGGTCTCATCTGATATGGTCTGGGACAAAAAACAGTCCAAGTAAAGACATCCTTATCATTTTCTATATTCTCATAATATTGAAAAAACTATGGGAAAACTGTCAAATAGGTCCTCGAACTTTCATAAAAAAGTCAATTAAGTCCTTCTATAGGAGATTCTGTCTGGCCGTCACGATTTGGGGCGGTTCCCGGTGGAATTTTTTGATAAAATTTTTTGAGCATCTTATTCATCAAGTTTAGTTTACTCATACCAAATTTCAGCTAAAAATTCGATCGGGAACACATTCAAATTAATTCGAGAAAGCAAAAATACGTAGTTATGTTCATGAATTAATTTGAATGTGTTCCCGATTGAATTTTTAGCTGAAATTTGGTATGAGTAAACTAGACTTGATGAATAAAATGCTCAAAAAATTTCATCAAAAAATTCCACCAAGAACTGCCCCAAATCGCGACGACCGGACAGAATCTCCTATAGAAGGACTTAATTGACCTTTTTATGAAAGTTTGAGGACCTATTTGACAGTTTTCCCAAAAAAACTATTGAATTTTGAAAGTTTTAAATGTTCTATAAAAGTTATTAAGAGTGTGTAACTTTACATGCTAAAGTCCACTATTAATTAGTTGGAGTGGATATATACAAATTTCACATGAGAATCACTATTTGCACCAAATTCACCTTATATATGACATATCAAATACGGAGTATAACATTTATTTCACTCTGCTCATTTTCATAATGTTATTATTAGAGAAAAGGTGCAAATAATCTTTCGAACTAACAAAAAAAGTACAAATAAGCCCTTTTATAGGAAGTTCTGTCCGGCCGTCGCCATTTGGGGCGGTTCCAGGTGGAATTTTTTTGACCATCTTCTTCACTAAGTCTAGTTTACTCATACCAAATTTCGCTAAAAATTTAATCAGGAAGGCAGCCAAATGATTTTCTGAATTATACTGCGTTGTTTAACTGTTCAGTTATCTTCAAACATTTATTTGACTGTCTTTCTAGTTGAACTTTTAGCTAAAATTTGATATGGGTAAACTAGACTTAATGAAGAAGATGCTCAAAAAATTTCATCAAAAAATTCCACTGGGAATCGCCTCAAATGGCGACGGCTAGAAAAACCCTCATATAAAAGGGCTTATTTGCACTTTTTTATTGGTTCAAGGGCTTATTTGCCCCTTTTCCCTTATTATTATGCATCAGGGTGCTATTGTAAGTAGTTTATGTTGATTTTGAGGCAACTATCTTTGTTAAACTTTGGTCTCTTAACTCCTTTTGTAGTAGAGGCGGGTCCCTTTGGTTCAATGGTCTTCGACTGAACACCAAAATATTTGAAAATAAAGTGCAAAAATACATATAAATTAATATAATAATTTATATTACTGTATTTTTATATAATATTTCTTATTATGAAACCCTATTTGCTAGTTTTTTGTAGTTTAAAAGAATAAAAAAAATTCAATTGTTGGATTAAAAAATATTATTGACTAACATTTTAAAGTTAAAATACTTCTTAACACCCCAAATCTCCTATTTTAAAAGGATGCATGCCACATGTAGGCTAAAAATAGGCTACAAAATATACAATGAGGTTGACACATGAACATATCGCATTGTTAGATGCTAAGTCAAGAGAGAATGTAATTCCGTATGAGAATAAGCTATGGTATAGTTACTCACTATAACCACTCAATTTAATAAATAAAATTAGACTACAAAAAATCAATCTCAATTTTCTAATGACCTGCCTTCCTCTTTGTCTCCATGTCAATTTTGCTTCTAGTCACTACAATAAATTATAAGGCCTCTAATCTCTATTATGCTTAGTTACACACCTGTTAATACTTGAAACATGGAATATAGCGCCTTTTAAAAAGACAAATGACTTAATATTTAAGACCTTTAAAGTAATTGAAGTATTACCGAATGTGGTAAAGTTTATATTACTCTAAATCATTCTTACTCTATTTTTATCAATTCAATATCAACTTTTTTGAATATTATTATTAAACACGTACACATACAGCAACTCACAAGAGACGTACACATGTGCAAAGTTCCTTTTAAATCTGTAGATATAAATACTACTCCCTCCGTCCCAGGGAGAAGTTCCCGGGTTGACTTTCACACATATTTAGGAAATAAAGTTACTGAGGGGTAAATTTTATTGTTTGGTACTGTTTCGACACTGTTTGGCACTGTTTGACACTGTTTTAATGGAGGATAACTTTCCATTTAGGGAAATGAGAACTTTTTGTTGGGACTACCAAAAAAGAAAAATGGGAACTTCTCCCTGGGACGGAGGGAGTATGTGTAAATCATTTACGTATGTTTTATCTAGGACTTATTTGTAGCTAAACTTTAGCTAGTTGTTGGGCAGTATGTAATTGTATACATGGTGGTATTCCACTCATCAATAAAGAACGATTTACGATCCAAATAATTTCCTTACTCTAAATGTGAGAACTACATTAACAACATTTTAATGATTTGTGTGTCACTGCCTCTTATCTCATTGTTAGTGGGATGATGGAATATTACTTTAACTTTGAATTCTTATTTTCATGAAATCTCAAAAAACATATTGAGATACATATTAAGCACTTAATGAATTCTTTGAATATTAAGCACTTATTAGGAAAGTGGTCTGTTTAATAAAAACAAAATACAATAGTTACAATTTGAAAAGGAATAAAAGTAGACTAACTGGAATAAAATAAAACAGCAAAACACAGGAAAGAAAAGAACACGATGGAAATCAAGATGCAGTTCATTTGTTGCAATTATTTAGAAGATCGATAGATAGAAAACAGAATGGAATAATAGGGAAAAAGAAAAATACGCAGTAAACAAGAATAGTGCAGCCATGGAAGAAAATAAGGAGAGGACCCGGAGGAGGAGGAGGAGGGGAGAAGAGACACGCTATTGCTACTATGCCACCTGCAACCGGACAGAGTCCACCGCTCTCAGTTTTGGTAAGTTTTTCTCCACAATGTCAAGGGGACTGTCTAGATTTGACATTGCAGTTGACATTGCAGGAAAAAACATACCAAAAGTGTATAAAATCATTCAAATAATGAGAGAGATAATTTATTTGTTAATCTTTATGTGGCTATCTCTTATGCCACATGTGCACCGTGCACATTCTACCATTGGTGATGCTCTTAACATTAGCAGTTTACTTTGTTGTTGCCTGTTACCACAATTCAAGTTATATAATTAATATTTGTAATTTTTTTACACATGTTTAGAGTTCTGATATCCTGATAAAATACTTGTTGCAACTTCTATCAGGTTATACTGTCAATGGCGGTAGTTATAGATCCAAGACCTGTTACGCGAGAAGCTAATATGACATGTTCAAGAGGGATGCTTGTCTATGTAAAGTGTCTTAAGTAATAAAGATTTTGTGTCGTTTGTAGCACCCCCTTTTTTTATTTATCAGATGCGTTGTATTTTGGTATTATTTTGGTAGAAACTTCTACCCTCATGGGCCTCATCCATTGATAAATTCACTAAAAAAAGTAGTTCTACTTTTTTAAATGCCTTCCGGATTTTTATGTGTTTCTTTTCAAGATAAATTTTGTCTACCCTTATGAATTTCACATTTTCATGCATGATTTAATGTACTACTAATTTTTCAATGATT